GCCAAGAAGGATATTTGCCGATCAAGCGAGGCTGAATAGTGTCTTTTTAAGCGGAATCCTTCACGTCATAGATTGTCGAAACTTCATAACTGAACTGTTTCTTATCCAAATATAAACAAATCAATTTCTAAAGAAGTAATTTTTTTATTTTATTTTAGTAATCCAAGAGATTTTATCACTTAAACACTGTCGGATTATTATAACAGAAAACAAATTATTCTGCATATATATATATATATATATATATATATATATATATATATATATATATATAATATATCTATCTATCTATCTATCTATCTATATCTATATATATATATATATATATATATATATATATATATATATATGTATATATATATATATATATATATATATATATATATATATATATAAACTGGGGAGAGTTTGTCTATTTGAGATACAATGCCAAGTACGATTTTAAACACCCCACAAATGCATACTTATTTCTGGGATTAGGATTTATCATCATTTATACTATTTATACTCAGACTATTTTCCTCATCATTATTGTTGTTATCACAACTTTTCGGTCATTGTGCTCTCCGGCCCTCCTCAGGTGTATATCGATCTGGGTAACCTACAGGGAATTCTGAAGTGAACCCTTTATTTAATCTACGGGGTTAGAATATTCTCGTTCCACTGCCTATATTTAGGGATTAATTCCTACTGACTAATATTAGGTTGGTGCAAAAATAATGACGTAATAATGTCGTTTTTTGACGTTAAAAAATACGTCAGAAAACGACATTATTACGTCATTATTTTTGCACCAACCTAATAGATACTATTTCCAATCTTTATTGGTGCTCAGCTATTGCTCGACCCGTTTCCACTCATTGAACTACTATGTCACCAAATCCACGTGCCATCGCTTTAATCCACTAGGGTATTATCCCGTTGGTAGATTAACCGAACCGAATATTGTGATAATAACAACCGAGATATGGATAAATGTCCGGATGTAAATAGTTTAAATTATGCTTACTTGTATTTTAGAAACTTTGTTTACTTACCTTAAGGAAACTCACTGGAAGGGGAGAAATGTTAGAATTCAACTGTAATCTTGTGATGAAAATATGATAAAAGATATTATTTCGTCTTCCCAGAAAATTTATTGAAATGAGTTCCAGTTTTCCGCTTTTATTTAAAGGTGAGTCAGAATTTGCATATATGTTCAAAGCGACGTAAAATGCAAAAATAGTTAGCCAAAGGCAATGGCTTTATTTTTTCTTCCTTCGTTACGATCGTGTTCTCTCTTTCGAAGCTGACTGGACGTATTAGCGAAAGTGTTAATAAGTTCTAACTCTTTATTTTCTATCGTTACTTCCACAAGAATTACTTGTAGGCAGCATATAGAGATTTTTTTTTTTTTTTTTTGCCATTTGACACAAACTGTTGCCACATCGACATTACGCCAGTAACAAGTAAGAATTTGTTTTCATTTCTTTCTTTCATCGTTGAGTTTCGCCGTATATGCTAAATACCTACCATTATAGTTTTTCTACCTCCCCTTTTCCCAAAGGATCGGACTTAAAATCCCGACAGTATTTCATAATGAGGAAATGGTCACCCTACCGCTTATCTGTTACTCGGAAATATTTTTTTTTATAGTAACAATTACCTTTTCTAACTGTTAGGTAATGAGGAAGGAGGGCCTGGAGAATCTGATACTCACAGTTCGAATAGAGGGAAAGAGATACAAGGGAAAGCAATGCGTCATATACGTGACGCACTTAAGTAAGTGGATGACAGAACGTTTTCTGGGGGAGGAAGCAGAGGGAAGGAACTTGTTGAGAGCTGCAAGGGATAGAGGGAGGCGGAGACCCATGATCGCCTACGTCCTGAAAAGACATGGCATATAAAAAGAAAGAAAGAAAGAACTGTTCGGTATGAGACTATATTTTTTTATTTTATATTTATTTATATTTTTAGTCTCCATACAAATAACTTTCCTTAAAAAAGTATTTTTCTACATATTATAAATAGTATTCGATTATTGGTCATTTACAAAGACAAAATAAAAAATGTTTGTCTTTTTTTCTTTTCTTTTATGTTGCTATTTGCTATGAAATAATTATTTTATTTGACTGTTTGGATTGGTTGATTTTGTTTATCGGCATATCAACCTCTTGGGGTTATTTAATGCCAAAATCTAAATATTTTGAACTCAATTTTATGGCTTCGACTAAATATATTTTGAACGCAATATTATACAGATAAAGTGTACTGTTGGTCATTTTGCTATAAAATATATTGCTCGGCATTTTTGGTTTAAAATGTTGTTGTTGATAATTTTACTATAACTATGTATTGCTGCTAATACTTTTACATAGAAATATATTGCTGGTAATATTTCTATGTGAAAATTATATTGCTGGTATTTTTACTAAAAAAAATGTATTTTTATGTTTTCATGGTCTTTTGTTCTTGTGTCCACTATTTGCCTATCGCTGGAACCCTAACACGTGTAATCAATCCGTCTCATGGTAGACAGGGGAACAACATCAATCAAGAGGTGGTTCCACGCTTCTCAAGACCTCCAAACTTCCTATCAGAAGCCTTGCTGCCAGATGTAGTTTATCGTCATACCCAAGACATTTTATGTGACGTCTGTTGTTAAAAATGAATCATGTCTCAGAAATACTGATAAGGACAAAGATAGTGTTTATAAGTTTTTTTTTTTATTATTGTGCAATATTTTTTTTCATTTTCAGAGGGGCTTATTTTCCATGCCACTTCCCCCAAATCCAAACGTATCTGCTATCAGACGACAACGTTCCTGCTTTCTCCTCTCAGGCCATTGCATGAAGGATTAGGTGGTCAATGCCGAGGTCATAGTTTTGTGATGTCAACGAATACTCGTTGTCACTTTCGTAATTCTCGTTGTAGTAGAGACTTTGTAATCTCAGATACAACTATAGTAACGCCATTGAACAATACTGATGTCAGACGCCTTCGACTAAAACTCGCACTTATAGTGCTTGCTCGATAATAATCGCTCAAAAGTAACAACCGAATAGTAATCCGTGTAGTGATCCGTATAGAGAAATAGTATAGTGGATAGTATAGAGAATAGCGATCCGTATAGTAATAGAGGATAGGTTAGAAATGTGGATCCGTATATTACGAGAGGATAGAACAGAAATGGTGATCGTTTAAACACCTAGCTAATTCCCATATATGCGTATGCTCTATGGTCACGTGATCTACCTATTCAAAATGAGATCGCCTGTGTTGGCTCTCTGGCGATCTACGTCGAACTCCACTGTCGACAGCAACACTTTATTCCTGTATGACACATAGCCATTCATATTTAGAGCAGAACGATCTTGACAAAAAAAAATCTTCTATCTTGTGTTTCAAGTAGAAGGACTCAAGATAAGCATATCTAAAACAGAATTTCTATAATCTGGAATTGGCATTAAAGCTGTTTATGGCGCGTGCCTTGAATGCATCATAAAATACATGATGAGAAATAAATAAATATCAACACTTCAGATACCTCGGTATATGGAACAGTTATAACAGCTTTAGTTTTCTTTCGTTTATGTGCCGTGTCCCTTAAGGACGTAGGTGATCACATCCCTCCACATCTTCCTGTGCTTTCTCTCTTTGTTATTACTCTCAAACCCTGTTCTCCCCTCCATTTGCTCAAACCCATCAAGTATGTTACGCGATGCTTTCCTGTCTACGTCTATTCCTCAATCTATACCGTGAGAATCCAGTTTTTCAAGACCTCCTTCCTCATTACGCGTTCCAGAAATTTCAACTACATCTCCCCTGATGTTAAGTATCAATTTCTTTTCGTTTCCTTTCTCTCCAAAACCTCGTTGTTGTTTACATATTCGGCCCTTGGCATCCTCAGCATCTTTCTGCGGTACCATATTTCTGTTGCTTCAGTTCTTTTCTTTATCATTGATTAGATTGTCTAGCATTCGCTTTCATACAGAATAGATATCACAGAACAATTCAGTACTCTTTCCCTTGTTGTCAACCAAATTTTTCTGTCTCTTAATACTCTGCTTAGCTATTGGGATTTTCCCACTTATATTTGGTAACAAAAATATTCTGACGGAGAGGGCAGATGGGGAACGTGTTGTCTCTGAGGGTCCCAACAAGCAAAAGAGGAAGAAAGTTTGTAAAAACCGCTCTCGTGGGGGTTTGGGGAAAATCTAAAAAGGTAGCCAGTGATTGGTTGTTTTTCATCCAATCACAGGGCATCCAATTAGCGACTCCGTACTAATATCAATATAGCTTTAGGAATGCGTCTTTGAGCGCGCCGATACGTATTCGGTTCTCAGTGTTGCACTTTCCGTCCTCTGTTAGAATATTTCCCAGATATTTAATTTCCTCTATCTGCTTGATTTTAGTATCCCCGACCTGTAATTTGCAATCTGGGCTCACCGTTTTGTATATTTTCTTATGTTTAGGAAAAACATAATTTTCCACATTGATATTTTATGTCCACTGCCAGAAAAGATCGGATGTTATAGAATCGACTTTTGGAAATTTCCCACTGTTGCGTTAGAAAAATTCGAGATCGGTATAGAATAGCTAGACCCGCTTCACATCCTTTATTATTGTCGTAGACATAAGATGGAGATAAATGTTCTTTCTCAGAATATATAACCAGTCGACAAATGATGTGCAGAGCGATTTGTAAATTGGTTATTCCCCAACATTGCAAATTCCGTATTAATGCTAATTTGTAAGTTATTGATCTTCATATTTACACCAGCAGAGTAAAACATATGATTTTTTTACACGACTGTTATTTTTCTATTTTGTCATTAGTTGTTAGTCAGGATTGACAGTTTTCTCCGTTTCTATCGAATCGAGAATGAAAACTCAAATCTATTTTTTTTTTTAGTGATATAATCTAAATCAGAGTGATTTTCTAGAGAAGGTTTAGCTTAAGATTTCTATCATCTGTATGTATGTGTATAGCTGTGTGTGTGTGTACTGCGCCCTCGAGTATGTGTCTATACGTATGTGTAGATCCTTTATTTGTTTATTTATTTTACTTTCTGTTTGTCTCCCTATTCTCCAAACGCCTTCTTTCCTACTCTCTCTATTCATTAAGAAACCTTCCTCTCACTCGGTTTTTCTCATCAACACTCTTCTTTCTTTCCGCCTTGTTGTCCTACTGTCTTTTTTCTCACTCCTTACTTTACTCATCTCCCTCTCACTATTTCTCTCGCATACCTCCTCTCTTTACTTCTCTCTCTTTTATATTTAGTCCTTCTATGACTCTACCAAGCTATCTCTGTTTTCTTTCTCCCTTCGTCTCCCGCTTTTAAGTGCGTCATACGAGACAACTATGTCGGTCTGGGCTGGCAGAGAACATTCACAATAATTAGTCTGTAATTATCTGAGTGGACTCCGTTGCATCGACGTCCTTTTCCCAGTCCGTCCATCCGACTGTGTTTTAACTAACACCCCACCACCATATCCTCTCCTTTTACTCCACTCTTCGGAAGTTTCCTTTTCTTTTCTCTCGCTAACTTTAGTTTTATTTTCTCTCACTTTCAAACACTTTCGGTATCTCTTGATTTGCTCTTTCTGCCAGCGTTTCTTTCTGCTTGATTCATTCTTCACCCGTGTCCCCACCACCATATTTTTTTTTCTCTTCTTTCTCGCTTTTTATCTATCGTCCTTTCATCTTGCCAATAGAAAAGTTTTCTTCACGTGCAACGCGCTAGGCGTGCTGACATATTTTTCTATCAGTTTATTTTTCTTTAAATTCTAGTTCGGTCTATTTTTCTCTACATTTTTCTTTGAAAGTATCTTTTTAGGTTTTCTCTCTTCATTCTTTTCCTTTCCCTCAAGTTGCAACGTTTCCGCCATCTTTCTTTGTTCGACTGGCGCCTTTGCTTTCTTTTAGTTCTACTTTACCCTCCCACAACTAATATTCCATTCCTTCTCTATTACACTTTTAAATAGCATATATATATATATATATATATATATATATATATGCATTCTTCTTCAAAATTAGATTTATTATTCTATCTTCCCAGCGATACCCACTCTTACATAGTGTGCTAAATGTCTTTCCTGCATCTGTTCTCTTCACGCTCAATCTATCGCTATTTTCCTCTTCATAACTTCAGTAACACTTCTTTTGCTATCCTTCCTGTTCCGTTCTTTTATTCATTGACCACGTTTTAAAACATTGTTTAGTAAATTGACAGTGCTGATTTTATCTAAGCTAGCTCAGTTTAAAAACAATTTTCTCTCTCTCTCTCTCTCTCCTCTCTCTTTCTCTTTATATATATATATATATATATATATATATATATATATATATATATATATATATATAAATATATAGGAGAAAAAGAAAAGGATTTTATTCTTATCTATCTAAATCAGTTTATTATCTCCTTTATTCTCATTTATTCACTATGTCTCTCTATCCCAGGCTGTTCATTATATATCTATATAACTATCTGTCTACCTAACTCAGAATGTTAATTTTCCGATTATTTATATCTATATCATTCTCTTCTTTATCTATCTATCTATCTATCTATCTATCTCAGTCTGTCCATTAGTGTGTTTATGTTTATATATATATATATATATATATATATATATATATATATATATATATATATATATATCAGTCTGTCCATATCGATATATCTACCTATTTTTCTACATATGTTCATTTTCTGATTATTTATCTATATCTCTCGCTGTCTGTTCATATCTAAGTAATTCTGTTCTTTATCTATCTATCTATCTATCTATCTATCTATCTATATATATATATATATATATATATATATATATATATATACTACTAGCTAGCTAGCCTTTAGTATTATCTCTTTTCTCAATCCCACTCTGCATTTACTTCCATTTAGATTTCAAAAAACAAATCCACCCCCATTCCTCTCAATTTTTATTTTGGATTCTGTTACGAGTGTGCTTAACTGTGTGTGTGTGTGTGTGTGTGTGTGTGTGTGTGTGTGTGTGTGTGTGTGTGTGTGCCTGTTCCCAACGGACAGCTGGTTGGCTGGCGGGCATGCAAGCAGGCCGTTGGGTTGGTCGGTTGGTTGGTCATCTAAATACCAACAATATCTTTGGCATGATTCAACTACCTTCCCTTCATTCGACCAAATGCGTTTCTTCGGGCATTAATATCCTGATATGGACATCTGAGAGAAGGAGGAGAAGGCATGCATACAGTCAGGACGACGACTAACACACATTAGCGCTCACGCCCACAACATTCACATTCACAGATAGAGATAAAAACCGCCCCTTCATATAAACTCAACCGCATGCATACACGCTGACTGGTATCCGTACATACATCTAAGTTGCATGATGGTTAGTAAGCAAACCAGTTCATTAGTGAAGTAAGTTCGATTCTCACGAATGCTTCACTCCGATGTTCCTGTGTCAGATGAAATTACATTGGATTAACAAGACCACGTCACCGCCGCATAATATTTAATCAGTTACGCTAGCAAACCAATACTATTTTGTAGAGACTTTGAAACTTAGGGTTGCTTCATTACTGCTACTTTCTTCTTCTATGTGTCGTTTCGCTTCAGGACGTGGGTGATCATGGTTCTCCACAACTTTCTATCATTTGAAGATTTTAGTAACGTTTCTATCTTTGCTATCCTTCTTAGTATCTGTTCTGCCATCCATTTACTTCCGTCATGTGTCGTTCTTGATATCAGTATGTCTTTTGAGCGTCAAATTCGCCAAACCCTCTCACCTCATTATTTTTCGTAAAGATTTCAACTTCTCTTTCTGATTCAAAGTTTATGTGTCCTTTACGTTTCTATTAGTCTTAAAACTTCTTTATTACTCACATGTTCAGTCCATGATATTCTTAGTATCCTTGTGAGGAGACAAGCATTCTTCTTCATCTGCAGGGACATTGTCTATCGTTCACTGACTTATTTCTTAATGGAAGTGAATGTTGGACAATCTCCTACAGTAACAATATTACATGTTTGTTCATCACACTTTTCTTTGTTGCTAATTAAAAGCCCTTGTTTCATAATATTTTACTTAGCTTCTGGAAGGTACCTTTTGATAATCCAATGAGCCTCCGGATATCATCGTACTATATGTAAACATTTTATGCGTAATCAATAAATCTAATTTACAACGGCGGTGAATTCGTCTCAAGAACCAAGTCGTTATTGTCATGACTGCGATACCCACAAGTGACTAAGTATTTTGGTTTTACGCATCTTTAATATGAGGATCAAAGGAAAAAGCTACGCCAATTTTCACGATAAAAAAATGATGAAATAAAATAGTTTACAAGCTTTTAATCCGAAGCTATCTTCATAAATGAAAGTGATTGAAACTAAATTCTTTTGGGGAAAACTAACCATAAAAAACAACCTTTAGTCTATTTAATATATAAACTGATACACGGACATACACACACATATATGTGTGTGTGTGTGTGTGTGTTTACACAAATTCAAAAAACTTAAAGGTGTGGAGCAGATGATATTAAAAAAATAGGAGTATTTACACGACCAGGGTTTCAAACATATAAAAATGTGAAAATTTCTCAGACATTCAGGCCGGTAAATGTTGTTTAATAATGTTTATTATAAACAGAGCATTTACATAAATATTTGTATCTATAAAAAGAATGTATAAACATAAAAATGACTTAAAATAATTGTCGGACTTTGTCCATTTCATAATGTGTGACGTCATATATATATATATATATATATATATATATATATATATATATATATATATGTGTGTGTGTGTGTGTGTGTGTGTGTGTGTGTCTGTATGTGTCTGTGTGTCTGTGTGTGTGTGTCTCTGTGTGTGTGTGTGTGTGTGTGTGTGTGTGTGTGTGTGTGTGTGTGATTTTCTTGTGTTCGAACGAGAGCTTTCTTTTCTGGCCAAAAGGTGTGTAAAAACTGCCCAAATGTTTTATATTTCCGAGCGCTTTTGGCTATACCTTTAGCCATTATCAAGGATGATTCGATTTTTCAGCTTAATTGAGTGTGTGCATTATGTGTATGTAGTTTTTTAATTTCCGAATACGGTTAGCACCTTGTGGCCTTGTTCGTAGTTAATATTGCTAATAGTTGTTTTTTTTTTTTACTTTTCTTATTATTAAAGCTTCCATTATTTTTAATCTTTTTTACAGGTGAATGCACGTAATATATTTGTGTTTTCTACTAGTATGTCTCTAATGGAATCTGGTAAATATGTGTGTGTGTTTAAATGGGTTCTAATGAAGCTGTGATCAGATAGGTGTAACGTAAGCCGTCTGGATAAGCATGTAGTTGTGTAACCGATGTAATTATTTATTGATAGTTTTTACACACTCTTTGTCCAGAAAAGAAAGCTCTCGTTCGAATACAAGAAAAATTAAATAAAAAGCTTAATCGTAGTACCTTGTTTGTCGTTTTTAATAAAACATGCATATATATTCTCTGTATTTAGGCAGAACATATTCTTTAAGGCAAATATTAAAACGACAGACATTTTGTGTCGGTTAAATGTACTGTTTGGCTTTTCCAAACTACGATTAATCCTTCCACAAATTTATGACGTAATTTTCCCCTAGTTTGAGAAGGATTGGTCGTAATTTTGAATAGTCAATCGTTAAAATGAATCGACTCAAAATATATTTTCTTTTAATAATAATAATATAATATATATATATATATATATATATATATATATATATATATATATATATATATATATATAAATATATACGGAAAAAACAAACAAAATCCTTAATTGTATATAAGGATTTTTTGTTTTTTTATATATTTTTCTTCATACTATCAGTTATATCCATATATTTGCTTATATATATATATATATATATATATATATATATATATATATATATATATATGTGTGTGTGTGTGTGTGTGTGTGTGCGATTAATTGTCGTCTGAATTACGCAAAATGAAAATAAGACTGTCATCTCATTTTAACAAATATATTTACCAAATTTGCATAAAACTATCTGGAAATAGAGAAAAAAGTAAATTCATTCCATAAAATCGCACTTGGCTCTAACCACGGCCTCCAGAAGAATTCGGAATCTCCTGCAACTCTTCTGGATGGTCTCTTTGTTTAAGTTGGTGTATGCTGCCATAATCCTTGGCTTCAGCTCATCTTCTGTTTTACAAGGAATTTTGTTGCTCTCTCGCTCAACTGCGCCCGACATATAATAATCAAGGATGTTGCAGTCTGGGAAGCTAGGTAGACTGGTGTAAGATGTGATGTGGTCGCAGAAATTGTCTGACGTCCATTAATGGGTTCTCCTGCATGGTGAAGAGTCGCGTTGCCAGGCATAGGGTTTTCCAGCTGCCACTCTCTTTACCCATGGAAACACTACCTCCTCAAGTCACTTAATTTAGTCCATCGTGTTGAGTCTGAGGCCCTGCGAGAAGATGAATGGATGAATAACATCGCCATCACTATTGATCACTTCAAAAAACTTCACAATCATTAATAATAGTAATAATAATAATTAAACTCATACAAATCTTTCTGAATCCTCTGTACTGTCCTCAGTTTAACCATCCAAAAACTGAAATGTTCCTATTGCAGCTTCCGTCGCTAATGGCAACCAGTACAGCATGCTGTTTCCAAATTTCTGGCGGAATAAATTGCGTCATAATGTTCTTTTTCTCATAGACGGTGCAAAATTGGCCATACTTTACTGAGCAGTTGACAAAATAATAAACAAACAAGTCGCATGCCCGCAATTAAAAATATAACATCGCTCCTTTTAGATATATAGATATATTCAGTGAAGGTCCTGAATATTTTTTTAAATCATACATCAGCTGACAGTTACTGACGAACATATCAATCACAAGGAAATCCCTAAAATATATTTAATTTCCAGGTAGGTTGTATCTTGCTGATAAATAAATAAATAAATAAAACGTTGAATAAAAACGGGACCTATGATGAGAATCTGCGGAAAAAGTCTGATTGATATTCATAATGTATAAATATTTTCTGGATTTTACAATGTCTAACTGACAGTTACTTTGTAGGAAGTGTATGCTATCATAATATTCGTAACAGAGATGTCGTGCCTGACTTGAAAGTCAGCATTCGATATCATCGCCATGAGCAAGACAAGATATCTGATGCCAAATCTGGAATACTTCAGCCACCATACAGAGTGATAGGGTAACAGAACATTTAGACAGATGCGGAGACATGGCTAGATAGGAACAGACTGAGATAGATAGATAGATAGATAGATAGATAGATAGATGAATAGATAGATGAATGAATGAATAGGAACGGACTGGCATTGACACATATAGATAGATAGATAGATAGATAGATGAATAGATATGATAGATGGGGAACAGACTGGCATTGACACATCGATAGATAGATAGATAGATAGGAATAGACTGGCATTGACACATCGATAGATAGATAGATAGATAGATAGATAGATAGATAGATAGATAGATAGATAGATAGATAGGAACAGACTGGCATTGACACATCGATAGATAGATAGATAGATAGATAGATAGATAGATAGATAGATAGGAACAGACTGGCATTGACACATAGATAGATAGATAGATAGATAGATAGATAGATAGGAACAGACTGGCATTGACACATAGATAGATAGATAGATAGATAGATAGATAGATAGATAGATATGAAGAAGCTTTCATCCATAGATAGATATGAATAGATTGGAATAGATTTGCATAGATAGATATATAGATAGAAATGAACAGGCTAATATCGGTAATGGACATTAGGTAATAAATATATTTATCTTATGCTGCATCCCGTATTTTTCTTCTTTACTAAAACCGTAAATGCCTGCTGGATGTGAAATTAGGCCACTCTCTTATCCCTGTTGTCTGTCTGTTCGTATAACGCATTGTGCTACTAATGTTTTCGGTGATAAATGCTATTATGATTTGTGAGCTCAGTACGCTTTCAATGCATTTTCTTAGTAAATCAAGAGAAAAGATTTGAGAAAAGTAAATCGATGGATGGATGAATGGATGGATCGATCGATAGATAGATAGATAAATAGATATAAATAATAAGCGTAAATTAACAGATATAAGTATTACGCCTAATGCAAACTGTCCATAATTTGATGGAAAATTAAAAGACAAATAACACATCACAATCCTTAATGAATTACTTGAGCAACAGCTGTCAACTGTTTATTCCTCATTACCCCATTTCATTTATAAAAGACAACGCAACTCATATATATATATATATATATATATATATATATATATATATATATATAATATATATAAGCCACGTATACCTTCTTAATATGTATATATAGAAAAGTTGCAAATTAAAAAATAATAATGTTTTATTTTGTGAAAGTATTTATATATATATATATATATATATATATTTTTGATATTTCAGATTGCTCTCAATCTTTCATCAGAAATAACTGTTTGTTTACAAATAAATTAAAATTAAAATTACTATATGTTTCTATAATATATATATATATATATATATATATATATATATATATATATATATATATATAAGTTGATATTGAAGTTAACATTCAGAGGTGGAAGACTTTTTCATGCTAAACGCAATCGTCAGGCCGATATTTAACATTCCCCCCACGAGGAATATCTGTGGCACAAGGCCGAATTTAACGTGGGTTTCTCCGAGCCCGTAGGCTCGACCAAAAAATATTCCCTTAGAACCCGCATAAGCGGCTTCGGGATCTGTCTACCTCCCCCGGACGAAACTTTGCCCTTCGGCAAAGTTTCGTCCGGGTTCCTCTCTGCCAAAGCAGAGTTCGACAAAGTCGCACACAGTCAAAGACTGCGTGTCGACTGTCTCAACACAATCGTCAAGCCACATGGTTTGTGTTTTTCCTCGATTATTTATATATACAGGTGAATATTGCTTTGTGGGTAGGATCTTGATGTTATACCTGACGTACCTATTCTATTATTAATAGACTCTCCCACATATAATAAGTAGTAGTAGTAGTAGCGGTCGCCAGTTTCGGCTCTGTGGTGTTGAGCGAGTCAGTCGATGTCGGACATTGATGTATCATCCATCACAACTAGATTTGCTGCGTCATTAACTCTTATTTCAAGTTCCTAACGTTTTATACGTCGAACCTAATTTAGGACGACTTATTGAAATACAAGCCTCCACTGTGAAAACTACTCTACAACACTTGCATTGTGGGTAGTCTATTCTAACGGTTATTTTGGATTGAGTGGGTTGTTAATTTGTTTATTATTTACTTCATTTATTTGGGTTAATTTATTTTACTTGTTTTTCTTTATTTATTTTCATTTATTCTTTTCAGTTTGTCGATTTGTAAGTAAAGTAGTAAAAATTTGTTTCTGTGTCTGCATTTTGAGATGAGCCCTTATCGTTTATTTAGTAGTTTGTTTAGGTCTGGGAAACTAATTATAGCTATTTTTCCTCCAAGCAGAGTTTGCAGTTTTGGGATTGATTTTTGTAGGCTGATGTCCTTTTTCCTTATTTTCCATGATATTTTTGGTGTGATTTGTTTTTTGTTTTTAATTTCCCAGACATACTTGGAAAGCATTGCGCTGTTCGCATATTTATTATTTGTGAAAGATATTTTGCATAACTGATGGGCCCCAGGAAACTACGCACATGTATACTTGTGAATGATTATTAGCGGAGGATTTATTTCGAACAAGTAATATGTCATAAGTTCGTCTGGCACAAGGCGAATGTGCTACTGCATGAGTGAATATCGACTTGAATTACAGTGGAAACGGGAGGTCGAAATCAGCTCTCCGATGAGATGCACGTAGAGATGGATCTTGGGTCTAATGAGAGGATATTTACGGTGGTCGTCTTACTGATGTTCCATTCATAAATTCAATATTTTCCGGGTGCCAAGCAACTGCATTCCGCTACGTCATTTATCTTAACTTAATAAACATTTATCTATCCATATCACACACACACACACACACACACACACACACACACACACACACATATATATATATATATATATATATATATATATATATATACATATATATATATATATATATATATATATATATATATATATATATATATATATATATATATATATAGATAAACCTAGTGAGCCAGAAAAACCTACCCATGTTTCACCTAAGCGGATCGTCAGAAACGAACTGGCATTGACACATCGATTGATCGATAGATAGATAGATAGATGAAGATGATATAGATAGATAGATAGAAAGATATGAAGAAACTTGCATCCATAGATAGATATAAATAGATTGAATATATATACTTATATACAATGTGAAACCTGGGTAGGTTTGTCTGGCTCACTAGGTTTATCTAGGTCTGGTCTATGGTTGTATTGAGCTCTTTTGTTAGTTAGTTGTTTACTTGTGTCGTTTTTTTTTCATAGCGCTTTGAACCTGTATCTGTGCGATTTTTTTCGACAGACTTTCATGTTTCTAGCTCTTTCTTTTTTTAAAACCTTTTTTTCCTTCGAGATTGATTTGATTATTAGCAAATCAAAAATTCGAATGTTTTTCGAAACCAGTATAGTTACATATATATATATATATATATATATATATATATATATATATATATATTCAGATGTAACGAGAACGTAAAGAATATAAATTCAAACGATCATAGCATTAATTTAAAAGAGGGCTCAGTACCAAGAGTAGAGCAATAATTATTTATCATAAAGATGTTGCATTCGGACAAACAAGTACTCACGAAAAAAGATGCATTTTGTTTTGATAGGAATGCATCACGATTGGTGAGGATGGATAACCAAATTTGTTCCTCACCTTTCGAGATGCATTTGTATCAAACACAAATGCATCTTTGACGTGAGTGCTTGTTTGTCTTTATGTTTATACTTATAATATATATATATATATATATATATATATATATATATATATATATAGTTTATGAAAAACTAGGTAATCCGTATGGGTAAACCTAAGGAGGATAAAATCCAGAGAGCTCAATATAAATCCAGACCAAATAATTTAAATAAAAACAGACCACTGCGGATCATCAGACTTTACATCCAAACAAAAAATGAAAAGAAAATTTACACATTTTTGATCGGCCGTATCAAACATATGTAAATTAACGAAGTGAGGAGGTGAGTGGGGAGAGAGAAGACATGAGATGATCCGCAGTCCTTTAAAAGGGCTGTGGTGAAATAATTTATTACATGGAACCTTAAAGTGGCTTGTTTTTATTTAAATTATATACATATATATATATATATATATATATATATGTGTGTGTATATATATATATATATATATATATATATATATATATATATAAACAGATAAATCCAGGCTAATCTATAAAATGGAAACCAACAATTATAATAAACTAGTCGACAAGAAAGTCACTGAAATTTACAAGCCACTAATAACAAAACAGAAAGTGATATAAAAAAGCTAAAACATTCCCACTAAACTAAAATTAGACAATAGGATAAGACAATTAGCAAAAGTAGAACCATTTATTAAATTAAAAGACCATAAGCGTAATTTCACGACCAAACCAACACTCAGCTTACTGAACCCCGCAAAAAGCAGTAGTGGGAAAATAAGCAAACAAATATTAGAAAAATATGGTTAAAACTAAGAACAATATTAAACATAAATCAATGGAAAAATACTAAAGCAACAATCAATTCGAATCAAAATTAGCAAGTAAGAAAACTGCTCCTTCATACAGTTAAATATAAAAGATTTTACCCATCTATTAATGAACATGCACTAAACAACGCATTAAATTTAGCAAAGCAATACATCAATATTTCCAAAGAGAACAGAAATATAATTAAAAACTGCCGAAAATCAATATTATACCACCATAAAAACATGGCCAAAAATGGCCATAATAATAATAATAATAATAATAATAATAATAATAATTTTGACGTAGTAATAGGTAGCTATGTTGGTCTTTGGGATGCGAACTCTTATGCATATGTATAATCAATAAATTAGTAAATATTATTAACAAAAAAGATATATGTCTATACAGAGACGATGGTCTATTAATCCTAAGAAACTGCAACGGCAGAACTACAGACAAATAAAACAAGAAAGAATAAAAACCTTCCAAATCCTAGCATTTACAATAGATATAAAATCAAATCAAAATATAGTAAATTACTATTAGATATAATATTCAACCTACAAACAACAACGCAATATACATAAACAAAAATTCTAACAAGTCCTTAAGCAAATGCCCTTACCTATGAATAAAGGAATTTCAACTAAATATAGTAGTCTAAAAATATTCAGCGAAAATAAAAATAATAGAATACAAAAACGAAAATAATTCAAACACAAACAGCAGAAAAGGAAATATGATTTGGTTCAACCCCACTTATAACAATAAAAAAAAAACAATGAAATATTCTTCAAAACAATTCGCTAAAACAGCCAATTATCAAAAATTATCAAAAAATAGAATATAAAGTAGTTACAGATGCATAGATAACATGGAGAAAATAATAACTAAACACAGTAAATAGTACGCAACAAAACCAATAATAATTACAACAGCAATAACAATAACTTCCAGCAAAATAACGTCATTAAATGCAACTGCAGAAACAAAGACATTGCCCAGTTAATAATAAATGCTTAAACATCGTAATTAATAACTCAAAGATAGACGAAAAAAATTACATGGGGGTATCAGAAAAAAACTTTTAAAGAAAGATATTATAACCACAAAATGTTATTCAAAAGAAAAAATGCAGAAACATTAAAACCCTATCAACATATATATGGAACCAAAAAGAAAACAATATCCCCACCACAATCAAATGTGAAATTATGAAAAGAGCAGCCCCAGACAGCATTAACAGAAAAAAATTATGCTTAGAGAAAAAATTAGAACTAATTAGTTTTAAAATGGAAATAAATAGTTAAACAAGAAAACTGAAATAAGGGAAAAATGTAGGCATATAAATAAATATTTAATATGCCATCCAATACTTAACTAAAAATAAACAAATAAATATAAATAAAATAACTATAAACCGTAAAAGTATATTACGAACATTAAATACTTAAATAAACGAAACAAATATAATATAAACTTAATTTATATTTAATATTTAAACACATAAACGAACAAATATTACGGTACGGACTTATGCGCGTGTGTGTATATATGTACATATGGATATATACACACACAAACACGCAAACAAAAAGAATGTACAAACTCACCATAATTAAAGCCTCAATGACACCAAGACAAAAACAAATAAACTACTAAACATTAAAAAAATAAATATGAAAAGTTAAAGAAACGATAACATGATCTAAGCATACACTTGCATTTTAATTACATACACTATTTAACAACTGCATATACGTGTTTGTGTGTGCATGCGGTATGTGGGCGGAAGTGTACGCTATATATGTATGTGTAATATAATAGTATATATGTATAGGTAATAAATAATATTTTGAAAAATTAAATAATTTCACCTTTCATGAACTTGTTTATTACTAACAAAGCACAGACTTAAGTGTACATGTATCCTTGTACGCGAGTTTTTGTTTACGTATCTTCGCATACGTATGACTAAATACGCGCATGAATAGATGTATACGTGTGCGTATACACAAGCGTATACAGACATATGCACATAAATTCTAATAAAAATAAATAAATTTAATAATGAATCTAACCTCCTACAATCAATATTTATGATATCATCAAAACCACTTAAAAACGATGAAATCGCCCAGTGAAAAAAATCTAAATATGTGTATGTATGCATGTGCGTATATGCGTATATATATGTATGTATGTGGGAGCATGTGTCTGTGTAAGTATTTACCATTTAAGCATTAACATCTTTAGTATCATATATATATATATATATATATATATATATATATATCATATATAATGAGAACGAGAATAATGTAAATTCTAACGTTCACAGAATTAATTCAATAGAGGGCTCAATAACAAGAGTGGAGCAATAATTATTTATTATAGATTTTTACATGTGGACAAAAAACATTATTTGTTAACGTGTATCGGCCATAGGTTTTCAAGGAAGTGAAGTAACATAGGCGGCTTGTTTCTGAACGAAACTGTCCATAAACACTTTTAGTCCCAACCAGTAGCAATAAAGCATCGAAACAAGAATACATCTTTGTAGTGCGTAATTATATATATATATATATATATATATATATATATATATATATATATATATATTGCCTAAATATTAATATCAATTTATATAAAAACGTAAACAAGCGAAATACATCTTCCCTAGCAAAAAAATTCTAAAATGCCCCTACGTAAAATAAATAGACAAAAATAGTTCACATGTCAAGGGCCGAACAAAACCAAACTAACTCTGCTTCAGATAAAAGAAAAATCTATGAAAATGGTTAAATAATCTCAATGCACTTTCGTGCAGACGGGCACACGTGAGCACACAGAAAATACAGAAGAAAATTTACACCAGTGCTAAATGTGTATATAAAGAAAAACAATTAGAAATATATGAGCAGTAAATTGCTCATACCCCCTGAAGAGTGGACGTCTGCCAAATTCTGCATGATGAAAGTAACATCAACCAGGTCAGCGACAATTTTAATCAGATTAATCATATATATATATATATATATATGAGTTTGTTCATCTAAAGCTAGACATACATACATACATTCAAAATACATGCATATAGACATACATCAGTCCGTATCTACTAATGTTACTTCTTCCCTGAACATATCTAAAATACCAATATATCTCAAGATTTTTTTAAATGTTTTCTCGCAACCTCTTTTACTTTCTTTCTAATGTTCTTACTTGTTTCCTTTCTAATAATATCAACTATCACAATTTTTTTATATATACCTATACATAGATTCAAACATACATACATACATACATACATACATATAAACATACATCATTACGCATCTATTAATTTTACTTCTTTCCGAAAAAGACATGAAATATCTCTCTGTCTCAGTGTGTTCATATCTACCTATGCATACATTTAAACATATATATATATATATATATATCCCTACGCATCAATTAATGCTACTTTCTTTCTAAACAGACCTATCTATCTATCTATCTATCTATTTTATATCTACAAACACGTTTTTCCTCTATATCTCTCCTCTTTCCTACAATATATGACAATTTTAGATATCATACACACACTTCCGCATTCACATACACAGATATATATATAT